CCCCCGTCCTCCAGGGGGACAGCCAGCGGAAGGGAGCACCGTGCACCTCTGGGGGTCATGGTCCAAGGGGGTGGGCATGTAAGACCCCCAGATACAGCTTGTGGGGGTCCCGTCAGTGCGTGGGAGCAGGCGGGGGCTCCGGCCAACGCCTGTCCCGTGCCCCCGCAGCTACGGGGACCCCAAGCAGTGGGCAGCCTTCCTGGGCACGCCGTTCCTGAGCGGCGCCGAGGGGCAGCTGGAGCGCGTGGCGCGCATCTTCAAGCACCCCTTCTACAACCTCTACACGCTCGACTACGACGTGGCGCTGCTCGAGCTGGCGGGGCCCGTGCGCCGCAGCCGCCTGGTGCGGCCCATCTGCCTGCCCGAGCCCACGCCGCGGCCCCCTGACGGCGCGCGCTGCGTCATCACCGGCTGGGGCTCCGTGCGCGAGGGAGGTAGGCGCGGCCGCCCCCCGCCCAGCCCCGCGCCCCGGGCGGTGTCGAGCACGCCCCGGCCCATCCAGCTCCGTGTCGCCCGCAGGCTCGATGGCGCGGCAGCTGCAGAAAGCGTCTGTGCGCCTCCTCAGCGAGCAGACGTGCCGCCGCTTCTACCCGGTGCAGATCAGCAGCCGCATGCTGTGCGCCGGCTTCCCGCAGGGCGGCGTGGACAGCTGCTCGGTGAGCGCAACGGGCCAAAGCGGAGGGCGGCGGGTGGGGGGTGGGGACGCAGTTCTCACCGCCGTGGGCCCTACTAGCCAGGGGCCACCCTCCAGCGCCCGCTTCTGCAGCCCGCCAAGTAGGGCACCGATTCCGGCCTCGAATTCTCAGTCCACCACCGTTTATTGGGCAACCTGCCCCTGGACCCTGCAGGGGCAGCCCGGGACCAAGGCCCAGTGTCTGGACCGGTCTGCCAGCCAAAGGAGCGGGTGGTCCTAACAGAACCCACTTCCCAGGAACTAGAAGGCTCCCCGGGAAAGGGGCCCTGGCCCAAGTGCTGCGGTGGGGGAGGTGCTGGGCTGCTCTAAGGCCGTTCCTCTCCTCCAGGGTGACGCTGGGGGACCCCTGGCCTGCAGGGAGCCCTCTGGCAGGTGGGTGCTAACTGGGGTCACTAGCTGGGGTTACGGCTGCGGACGGCCCCACTTCCCCGGTGTCTACACCCGGGTTGCTGCTGTGAGAAGCTGGATCGGGCAGAACATCCAGGAGTGACCAGCCAGTGGACACGAGAGGTGAAGGCAGCAGGAAGCAGCTGACCCCTCTGCCTGAGGAGGGGAGTCTGGGGCGCGAGCGGGAGGTGAGGGACTGCGGATAACCGGGTGCAGTCTCACTGCGTATTTTGTTGCAATAAACAGCCCCTCGTCCCAAGCCTACCGGCTCAGCACCTCCATGTCCCAGCAAGGAACCCCTACCCACCCCTCAGCCCGGACTCGGGGTGGGAGGAAGGATGCCAGGAGGGCCAGCGAGGCCTCCTGGAGCGAGGACCACCCTCCAAGGCTTTGGCGGCGCCGCAGCTGGGGAGGGAGCTGGCGAGCCTCGTCTTCCAAGGAAGGTCCCCTTGGCGCAAGCACCGTGTTCCCAGTCATCGCGAAAGCCCAGCCGCGCAGAGGGAAGGCGGGGTGGGGGTCGGGAGGAAGAGACTCAGGCTGGCGGGGCGCCCAGGAACACGCGCTACCCACTCCGGCAGAGACCCCCTGCAGGGCGGACCGCCCGGGTTCTCCCTGCCCCCCATCCCGAGGTCCATATGCGGATTCTCCGCCCAAGGCACGAGGCGGGATGCGGGCGCTTGGCGCAGTCCCAGGCCCCCCCGACCCACGCCGCGCTCGCTGGCAGGCGGGAGGGGAGCAGCGTCCCGAGCGCCGCGGCGCCGGTCTCCGCAGAAGCACGGGCAGGAAGGACGCACGAGCGGCCCCGCTTCGCAAAGGGCATTTATGGAAACGGAACGGGGGTGAGGGCCGGGCGCGGCGCGCCGGGGTCACATGTTGGCTCGTTCTCGCTGCAGTCGCGAGTTGTAGGCGCGGGACACGGTGTTCCAGGCGTCCATGTAGCGGTCCATGCACATGGCGATGCACTTCTGCAGGCGGGGAGGGCGCGCGGCTCAGCTCCGGCCCCGACCCGCGCCCCCGCCCCAGGACAGCGGGCTGCGCACGCGCAAAGGTCCCCGCGCGACGGCCCGCGCACGCGCAGCGGCCTCCCCGCGGCCCCGCCGGTCTCACCTGTTCCGAGTTGTCCAGGGAGCCCCCAGGCTTCCCGATGCACTTCCGGAAGCACTTGTCCGTCATCCTCTGTGGGGACACGCGAGCTCAGCCGCGACAGCCGCCCCCAGCAGACCCCCACCGCCCTGGGCGCCCGCCCCGGCCCGCCCCCGGACCTGCAGCAGCTCCTGCGCGTTAGCCACGGCGATCTGCACCTTCACCTGCTCCATGATGAGCCCCGGGTCCAGCTTGCCGCCGCCGGAGCTCCCGAAATCGGAGCCGAAGCCACCCTCCATGGCTCCACAAAGTCAACCGAACCGTGACCGCGTGCGCCGACCCGTACCCACGCCGGAAGTCGGCCGCCCAGGGCGCCACGGGAAATGGAGTCCAGGTGTGCTGGTAGAGGAGCCGGACTACAACTACCACAAGGCCGTGCGCCCTCCACCCGTGCGCGGGGGAGCGGGTAGCCTCACAGAGCGGGGTATTTACGCGAGCCGATAGGTCGTCCCCAGCTCGCCCTGCAGAGGGTGCCGCGCATGCGCGCGGGTCGGCAAGCACGTCACGTGACCCGCGGCGGGGGCCGACCCGCGGCGGTGTCTGACGCCGGTCTCCGGCGGGGCCAGGGCAGCTTGGTCAGAGCGCACGCGGGGGCACCAGTAAAACCAAATGTTTATTGGCGTGTTGTACAAAAGTGTCCGGTCGTAAAACGCGTATTACAAACACGGGAGAAAGGAAAGACCACATGTTTGGCATGCAAGTTCACGGACGCCGGTGGCCCCCTGCCCATCCCCCGCAGGTCGTGCTGGTGCTCCCGCGGGGCGCGCCCGAGGCCGGGCCGCGGGGGGCCTGGCCGAGGGAACCGTCTCCGGGTCCTTTAAAGCGGCTTAAACCTAAGAATGCGGACAACTACGAACTGCTTCCCGGGCGGGGCGCGGACACACGGGACCCCCGCACGGCTCACCGGCACCCCCCCACTCCCCCGGGCCCGTCAGGCCCACCACGGGGCGGGCGTAAGGCGGGGAACCGGCTGGCCCCCGATCCGCACTCCCAAGACACATCGCAGGACGCGGCCGAGGCCAGAGCGCACTATCTGGACAACCCCGGCCCCACGCTCCGGAGGCCTTGGCCTCCGCGGTCCAGGCCCGCAGTGGGCGAGGCGGGATGGGGATGGGGGACGCACAGCCTGCGGCTCTCCTGGGAAAGGTCCTGCGTGGGGCGGGGCGAGCTCCCCAGGGACCCCCAGAAAGGCGGGGAATGGTGGTGAGCCGTTTCTGTCCACGAGAAGAACCGACCTCGGGCCTGGGTACCGGGCAGCCATGGAAAGAACTAGAACTCAAGCAAGGGGTTGCGGGCAGATTCTCGGTGCAGAAGCCTCGACCCTCCGGCCACAAGCAGGTTCCGAGGGACGGGAGACGGACCGCCCGAGGCGGGAGGCAAGCGTGCTGCGGAACTAGGGCGGCGTCGGGCGAGCTGGGAAGGGCCGGCTGCGGGCTGCTTGTAAACGGGCTGCCTTCTGGGGGCAGCTGCCTCCGTGGCTCAGTGTGACGTCTTTAAGACTTGAGCTGCGCTTTCTGAAGGAATTTGCCGTCTGGGCCTCAGATGTCACCAAGATGGCCCCCCTCAACTCCAGCCCCTGGGGGGGGGGGGGGCTGTCCCAGGGACGCTGGCATGAGGCCTGAAGCGGGATCCGGCAATCTGAGTACTGACCAATGTAAAAAAATAAATATCCATTAAAAAAATAACTTCTGTGTATCTGTGTGGGAGGGGTACACACGGTGAGGGACCGCCAAGGCGGCATGGCAGCCAGGAGCTGGGTGGGGGGTCGTGGAGCCGTCCTGTGGAATCAGCCAGCACTGGCCTCTGAGAAACAGCATCTCAGCGAAAAGGTCGCCACAGAAGCTAGGACAGACAACAAGACACGCACAGAGCATACGGGACATGGTGGGGGTCAGGACTCAGCCCCATGCACAAGGCACAGAGTGGGAGAACAGCTTGTGGGTGGCCCAGTGGCTCACGGTCAAGTCCCCCTCTTCACCGAGGGAGGGCAGGAAGAGGCTGTGCCCTGTGGACAGTGGCTTTGAGACCCGGGGGACACTTGCTTCCCAGGTGATCCCACTTCCCCTTCCACCTGCACCCTGGCTGATTACCTGGTGACAAGTCTCCAAACGGAGCTGTCCCTGTTCCCTGGGTTTCCAGCTCTCTCCTGCCTCGAGGTCCTGCAAGCTTAGGAACTGGACTACAGAAAGCTCCAGAAACCCAAGGGCCAGACAGCCAGGAAGGGAAAAGGCGGCCCACGGCTGAGTGCCCCAGTATGGCCTGTGGCAGCTCTCCATCACACCAGGAAGTACACCAGAGCCCCAGAGCCCAGGCCGAGCAGCCAAAACCCACACCCAGGCCCCTGCCACACCTGCGGCCGGGCCACCGAAATGCCACAGGGGATGCGCCTGCCGCCCCCAAGGTCAGAACCTGGCTTCTGGACGGGGCTCTTAAGGAGCTTCATTGGACACGGCAGCCCTGCTCTCCGTGCACTCGAGGCCCACAGGGCGGACCCCAGCAGCCGGTTGTGCGGGGGAGGCAGAGGGACAGCAGTCCCTGAGCCCAGCCCCGGCCCGGCCTTCCAACCTCCACACCCAACCCCCGTCAGCCATTCCGTCCTTGGCCTCGAATTCAACCAAATGGTGAAATGGGGCACCAAAAAAATGTCTGGCCAGTGGCGATGAAGGAAGTGTCCGAGGGAGCCCACCCGCAGTAAAGACCCCGGACACCCAGCCCGCGTTCTGGCAGTACGCTTAGAAATCCTCTAGAAATGTTATCAAGGAGTAAAGACAGCCAATGATAGAAAAATAGTTTTCAGTGGCTCTGGGTAAAGACAAGTGATGAGGCGTGTTCCGTTCACATCACGCGGCAGCCTCTCGAGGTGGTCCTGGGGTCCCCCTGGAAAGGAAGGCCGGCAGCCTAAGAGGAACGCACAAGCCCACTGGGCCACGCAGCTCCCACCCCCGGGACACCAGCTCCCAGCAAACTGATGGGGCCAGCGGCTTCAGCCTCAACTGTCCCTGTTCCAGAACCTTCCACATCCGCCTTGCTTCTGTTCCAAGCACACAGGCCGTCACAAGTCGTACCATGCAGAGGGGCTGTAGCTCGGCCCCAGGCCTCAGGAGCCGTCCCCCCCAAAACCCATCACTGAAGCCCGGAGATCCCAGGCAGGAGCAGCAGTGGCCTCAGAGCCCGCTCACTGGGGACCCTCAGGGCTACACCGGTGCCGCCTGGTGGTGTTTGGGGTTCAACACCCCACTCCTGGGGGCCCCGGGCCACCACCCTGAGGTCCACACAGGGGCAAGAGCCAGGAGGTGAGGGCGGTCCCCTGACAGGCCATCTCTGGCAGCGGGCGGTGTGGCCTGGGGTTGGCTGGCGGGGGAGGCCTGGGCGGTGGCCAAGCAGCTGGTGGGCAGCACGGCCCTGGGGACCCGGCGGGCAGGCGTGCACGTGTGCGCTGAGGGTGCGTCCACGTGAGCCACCCGGGAGCCTCTACCTGTTGATGGAAAAGATCCTCCTCGCCAAACTCCGCGGCCTCCTCTTCTCCCTCCTCCCCGTTCTCCGTCTCCCGCACCACTGAGGACTGCTTCACAGTTCTCATGGCTACCTCCTGCGCAAGAGAAAGGACACTTGAACACTTGACCCCTTGGGCAGCGGGGGCCACCTGTCTCGGTGACGGGCAGGCGGGATGCTCTGGCCGAGAGCCACATCGCAAACCCCAGGTCGCACACTCCCTGGCCTGTGGGCCAAAGCTGCACCCCAGAGCTCCTGCCCAGCCTGTGGTGCAGTAAGGGTGAGGCAGGGAGCCCCCAGGAGCGACCCCAGGGCAAGGAGACGGTGGCCCCCAGCAAGGCTCAGGCACCTACCTCCCCGTCGGCGTTGACCAGGACGGTCCGGAAGCTCTCGCCCGTGCCCCAGCTGTCCTGGCTCTTCCACACAAGCGTTGAGGGGGGGCTGTGGGCCACTCCCGCACCAGCTGCCCACACCTGGGGACACAGCAGGGCCTCCCCATCAGTGCTGGCTCTGGGCCCAGTACATGCCACCAGTTAGTTCCTGGTCCCTGCCCCCTGGGTCCCGCTGGAGGAGGACAGTTGAGAGGGTATAGGGGACACTGAGGTGCGGTGCCCAAGGACTCATGTCAGCAAACGTAGGCTGAGCAGCGACCAGAGGCCCATCAGCCTCAGGGGTCCACACCTGTGATCTTCTGTCTCTGCCAGCGCCCGCCAGCCCAGACAGCCCAGACCCTCTTCCACTGTGAGAGGCTGACAGGTTACCCCAGGGCTCCACAGGGCTCCAGGGACAGTCCAAGGGCACAACGGCACACAGGTGTCCAGTGACAGGACACAGCTGTTCTCAGAGCCAAGTCACCCCATCCCAAACCACTGCCTGCTTCCCAAGAACCCCCCACATCCCAGCCCGCACCACCGCCCCCCATGGCCACCCTCCCCACCGCTGGCCCTCCCGCAGCCACCTACCGTGACCGTCTGGCCGGCACGTAGCACGTACTTGGGCGTGAACTTGTAGGAGATCTCCTCCCCTTCCAGGATCTGCCTCTTGATCCTCCAGTTCCCCAGAGACTGGTCCTGGCACAGGGGACGTGGTGCCTGACGCACAGCTCGGGGAGGGCGCCCCCAGCTCTGCACCCCTGCCCCGGACGCCCCTCACCTTGTCCGAGCTGTTCTTCAGCTGCACGAACCTGCCCTCCAGGTCGATCTCGTCGATGCTGACGCCGCCCGAAGCCGAGGCCTGCTGCGCCAGGTGGAAGCTGGTGCTGCTGCTGCTGCTGCCCGTGCCGATGCCGCTCGAGCCCGGAGACTCCTCCACCTCCAGCCGCTTGCGCTTGCTGCGGCCCGAGCGCCCGGCCGTGGACACGCTGCTGCTGCTGCTGCTTGACGTGGCCCGCGACACTGCGATCCGCGACGATGGGCTGGGGGTCAGCTTCAGCCTGCGGGACGGAGGGGACGGCGGGCCCAACACACTCGCTAGCCCGGTAGGGGGAGGGGGCGCTTCTCGCCTGGCCCCGCCCCCCGCCCCCTCCCACTCCGGCCCCGCCCCCTCCCCAGAGCACGCCCACCTCTCCTCCTCGCCCTCCAGGAGCTTGCGGTAGGCGCTGATCTCCATGTCCAGGGCCAGCTTGACGTCGAGCAGCTCCTGGTACTCGGCCAGCTGCTGCTGCATCACGTCCCGCATCTCGGTCATCTCCTGCTCCTTGGCGTCCAGCATCTTGCGGAACTTGTCCCGCTCCCCAGCCATGGTCTCCTCGAGCTCGCGAATCCGGTCCTCTGCGGCACTGGCCTGGCGGGCAGGGGTCCGGGCAGCCGGGTCAGGCCGGCCTCTGCGGGTCACGCAGAGAAGCGCACCGGCTTGCGGGGTTTTTCCCCGCCTGCTGCGGACGCGGGCGGGCCCCGACTGCGGGCAGGAGGCCTTGGTGGGGTGGGGCCGGGGGCTCCGGAGGCCGGTGGGCCCAACAGCCCCGCGGGCCAGGAGGGAAGGGGTGCTGCGTCACCCACGCTGCCGCTCCGGCTCGCCTACACCCGACGCCGGGAGGGCGGGCCCGCAGCAGCGGCGGGCCGGCGGCGGGGCAGGCCCTGGGAGTCACCTGCTTCTGGAGGCTGGACAGCTGGTAGCTGAGAGACTCGAGCCGCACGCGCGCTTCCTGCAGCTCCTCCCGGGCGGCGCTGGCGGCCTTGTCGTTCTGGTCGGAGCTCAGCTTGGCGCTGTCGAGCTGGACGGGCCCGGACAGCGGTGTGAGGGGCCCGCCGCGGGCAGGGAGCCCCCGCTGCCCCCCGCCGCCCCCGCCGCCCCCGCCGGCCCGCACCTTGGCCTGGTAGGTCTGCTCCAGCTCCAGCTTGTACAGGCGCACCTGCTCGTCGTGCTGGCTGCGCAGCTCGTCCAGCGCCTGGGCCATCTTGAAGTCGTACTCCTGCTGCCGGCTGCTGTCCACCTCCACCAGGCGGCGCTCGTGCCGCCGCCGCGTCTCCCGCACCTCCTGCCGGGGGCCGCGGTCAGTGCCCCGCCCTGGGGCCCCGCACCACCCACCCCACCCCCGGCCTCCCCGACCCCAATTCTCCCCCCTCCCCGAGCCCCAAGTCCACGTGGGCGCCCAGACCCCCGAACCGCTGCGGAGTCACGGCCACCAGAGCGGACCCGGCCCCGGCGTCCCCCACTGGCAAGCAGATAAATAAAACGTGCCCCCGCCCCCTCACAGGGGAACTACCCGGCCGCGACCGGGAGCCAGGCGCCCCCACGCGCTGCCCCGGGGACGGCCCCGAGCCCACGGCCGCAGGGAGGGAAACACACAGGACGACGCACGGGGTGTGAGTCCACGCGGGTGACCCGCCCAGACCAGGACGGGAAGGGGGATCGAGCCGCTGGGGGGAGCGGGGAGGGGGGAGGGGGGGTTGACGGCTGACAGGGACCGGGTTGCTTTGGGGCCGACAGAACGGTCTAGTTAGAGATGAAGTTTGGGCAGTTCTGAAAACGTACTAAAACCAGCCAAACTGTACAAGTTTTCTAGAACAGGAACATTCCAATAAAGCTGTTGTTAAAAGAACTCCTGACAAGGGGCTCCTGGAGGGGGGCTCATTCAGCATCATTACCTCAGGGTGGTGGGATCCGGCCCCACGTCCAGCTGTGCACTTGGTGGGGACCCAACCTGAGATTCTCTCCCACTCCCTTTCCCTCTGCCTCTCCCCCTGCTCGCACACTCAGGCACTCCTCCTCCCGCTCTCTCAAATAACTCCATGAATAAAATCTTAAAGTAAGGGGGCGCCTGGGTGGCTCAGTGGGTTAAAGCCTCTGCCTTCGGCTCAGGTCATGAACCCAGGGTCCTGGGATCGAGCCCCGCATCGGGCTCTCTGCTCAGCGGGGAGCCTGCTTCTCCCTCTCTCTCTGCCTACTTGGATCTCTGTCAAATAAATAAATAAAAATCTAAAAAAAAAAAAAAAAAATCTTAAAGTAAGAATTCCTGCTGAGCCCGTCCCAGGTACCTGGGGACAGAGGCATAGAGACCCAGGCCTCAGGTCAGTGGCCGGACACCACAGCGACACTGTCAGCAGCCGGACACCACAGCGACACTAAACCCAGCGGGAGGTCTAGGCCCCAGAGCACAGCTGCCTCAGATACAGGTGCGGGCGGAGGGCGCCGTTCCCCAGCCTTAGGCTCTGAGGGAAGGAGAAACTCGCTCCGAACGGCCGGCCGTCACTCACACTGTGCCAAGAGCTTGTAAGACCAAGAGGACTGCTTCTCAAGGAAGCCAGTCCTGTTCTCAAAGAACCCGTGAACCTCGGGGAACGCTGGACCAGGACACCCACCTTCACGGCGGCCCCCATGGTGGCTCCCCGCCAGGAGCCCTTCCAGGTTGTCCTGCGGGCTCCCCTCACAGGTCCCTGCATGGCTCTCTTCCTGGGATCCTTCCTCACAAGTACGGACCCCCTCAAAGGCTCAGGGTCTCCAGCGGATGCCTTCAGGGGCTCCCCCCTAGCTGTCCTGGCCCTGGCTCTCAGGGGGCCGGGCTGGAGCTGGAGCCCACTCCTCAGGTGTATGGGCATCGGTCCTGCCAGCCCCCACCTGCGCCCGGGGCACTGCAGCCCCAGGGTTCCGTTGTGGGCCGTGACAGGACAATGAGCTCTGTGATGATGAGCTGGGAGGGGCCCCGATGCCACATCCCCTCCCAGAGGACACAGAAACCCCAGCTCTAGCTGCCAGAAGGGCAGGTGGGCCCACCATACCCCAGAGCCTGGGGCCAGTTCCAAGCTTGGGGGCAGGGGCCAGGAAGCAAGGGATGCAGATGGGCCCTCCCCTGCCCTTTCACAGAGAGGGTCTGCCGTGTGTTCAACAGTGGCACCCCAAAAGATGTGTCCACGTCCTAATCCCCAGAAGCGGGAGTGTGACCTTATTTGGAAAGGGGGGCTTGGGAGATGGGACTTATAAGAGTCTCCAAATCCAAGCTTCTGGATCATCCCGGTGGGCCCTACACCAATGACAAGTATCCTCATGAGAGACAGGAGAGCAGAGACGGGGGAAGCAAATGAAGACGGAGGCACTCGTGGAGGGATGTGGCCACGAGCCTGGGGAGGCACCTAGAGCCCCCCAGCCCCCGGGGCTGGGAGAGGCAGCAGGACCCTCCCCCGGATTGGGTTCCTGAGCTCCAGGAGGTGGCAGGATGCCGCCACCGCCATGCGGGGTGCGAGCCGCACCCAGACCCACCTCCTCGAAGACGTTCTTGCGGAAGTCGAGCTCCTCCTGCAGACTCTGACAGCGGTTCTCCAGGTCCACACGCGTCAGCGTCTCCTTCTCCAACTGCTTTTTGGCCACCGCGTGACCGTCCTCTGCCTGGGACACAGGACAGAAGCTGAGGTGACTGTCTACTGCACCGTGTGGCCTCTCGGGGCCCAGAGATCCCCTTACACACACACACACACACACACACACACACACACACACACACTCCAGGGGGTGTCAAGGGCTTGGGGACCAGCAGACACAGGCATCCTGGCCCTGGGCCGCTCCCCTATGATGGGACGTCCGGCCGCCGCCCCAGACCCCTGCACTCGCCACTGGGGCCGCTGGAAACCCACCTTAGCCAGCTGGGCCCGCAGCTCGGCCACGTCGCTCTCCAGGCCACGCTTTTCACTGAGGGCGGCGGCCAGCTCTGCCTCACTCCGGTGGAACAGGGACTCCAGATCCTTCACGCGGCCCTGAGCCACCGCGAGCTCACCCTCCCTCTTCTTGGAGCTAGGAGTCAAGGGCAGGCGTTAGCCAGGAGCAGGCAGCACGAGCCGTCGGGCACGATGGGGGTCTCTGGCAGTGCCAGGAAGCCCCAGGACCGGCTCCCTCCCGCCTCTGAGCCGTGCGCACCTCCCCTGAGGTAACGGGGCCTGGGCCGCCGGCACAAAAGGCGTCCCTTCCTCAGACCCGCTCTGCACACCAGGACTCCACCAGCTGACAAGTACAAGCGCTCAAAAAGACCTCAAGGAAAGAGCTTTAATGTCTTTTTTTTTTTTTTTTTGACAGAGATCACAAGAAGGCAGAGAGGCAGAGAGAGAGGGGGAAGCAAGCTCCTCGCTGAGCAGAGAGCCCGATGCGGGGCTGGAACCCAGGACCTTGAGACCATGGCAGAGGCTTCACCCACTGAGCCACCCAGGCTCCCCTTTAATGTCATTTTTGTGTAATTTTTGGACATGGGGGGGATCACGTAAGGGAGAATGATGTTTTAAAAAACGTATAATTTAGTAAAGTTGCAGGTTACAATGTTGCCCTTTGAAAAGTCGATCTCACTTGTAAACTTAATGCACTTCTCGAAACAGGTCCAGCTGACGCCCCAGGAGACAATTTCCCCGACTTTAAAGAGGCAAACAGATTCTTTAACGCCCAGCTGTCTGCAGCACAGGCCTGGGGCTCCTGGTCGTTTCTCAAAGGAATTCGCCACCTTCCAGGAGCAGAATGTACGCCACCCCCCACCCAGGAGCCGAGGGAGCCGTCCCCAACAAGGGGACAGTCTCCCCCAAATGCTGCTCACACAGGGGTGCTATGGGGGCCAAGCAGCGTCCCTGGGTCCAGCCCCCCAACCGCACACCCAGTGAGAACCGCTGGGGAAGCAGCTTCCGCTGCACGAGGTTGGGGGGGGGGGATGGCATAGGGACCCGTGGCTTCGGCCGCCAAGCTGCCGTGTCCTCAGCAGCAGCCCTGGAACACAGAGCTCCAGCCGCGCCTCTGACTGCCATCCTCCATGAGGGTCTCGGGGTCCCCGCAGTCCTCACCCCTGAGCTTACGCCACACGGTCCTGGCTCTCCTGCCCACAGCGGAACTGAAACCCTAAGCCCCTGGAGCAGCTTCTGCAGGGGTTTGGGAAAACAAGTCCCTCGTCTGAACCCGTCACCGAGAGCCTGCTTTGTGGGGACGGGCCCCCTCGCGCCAGAGATGCACCTGGGAGCACCGGGCTCTCCTGGGGCAGAACTTTCTCGTGGGTGGAGCTGACAGTGAAGCCCGCGAACCCGCATCAGGAGGGCAGAGAAGCGGGACAGGAGGTGAGGGAGGGGCACGAGCCACCTGGGAACCCCCACTTTCAAGGTGTACAGCCCTGCCTGGGGTCGCCCTGGAAACAGACCTGGATGAGGGGAGCATTAAGAACGAGCCAGAGCAAGGGACACCTGGAGGGCTCAGTTGGTTAAGCCTCTGCCTTCGGCTCAGGTCATGGTCTCAGGGTCCTGGGATCGAGCCCCGCATCGGGCTCCCTGCTTAGCGGGAAGCCTGCTTCCCCCCTCTCTCTGCCTGCCTCTCTGCCTACTTGTGATCTATCAAATAAATAAATAAACTCTTAAAAAAAAAAAAAAAAAAAAGAACAAACCAGATCTATTATTTCCAGGAGAGGAGCACTCAGGCAGAGGAAGCAGAAGTGCAAAGGCCCTAGGGTCAGGTGTACCTGGCAAGTTTAAGATCAGCCACAAAGCCAGGGTGACTGGAACAGAGGCATCAGGTGATGTGGAAAAAAATTTTTTTTAAGTTCATTTGAATAGTCTCTAAACCCATCGTGGGGCTTGACCAAATAAGCCCAACACACGCTCTCCCGCCGGGGTGACACAGCCACCTTGATGCGGAAAATCTCTAAACACCTTTATCCAATATTCGCATTCTGCAAAACTACACAGAACGGCCCAGAAAGCAGGGGCACCAGGGGCTCCCACGGGCCACGTCTCCCGAGCATCAAGCTGAACGCGGCTTCCTCATCTGTGGGACAGTCCTGGAGAGTTGAGTGGGAGCATCTGACCTATCGGTCGGGTCCTCCACGCAGCCACCCACGCTCCTGTCCTCGCCGAGATGTGCTGATAAACGGGTCAGGAAGAGAACCCACTCGACCTAAGCGCAGCCGGCTCCCTGCCCGGGAAGGGCTCCTGCGGCGGGGCAGGAAGCGCGGGAACGGAGGGCGGCACCTGCAGCCTCTGCTGGCCAGAGGGCGGCCGCCGGACAGGAGGCCTTCCCAGTGGAGCAGGGGCCTCCACTGAAAGTGACGGCCCAGACGTGCAGAGTCCCTACCGCCAGCCCCGCTGCACTGGCCGCTCCTTGTGTCCTGTCTGCCGCCCGCCGCCCGCCGCACCCAGCATCAGGCCGAGGGAAGCGGCGGACAATGGGCACAGCTGTCACCCACAGAAGCCGTCACGGAACAATGGGACCAGCCTCTCACAGCCACGGCTCCCCTGGTGAACCTGTCCCGGGTGCGGGAACATCCCAGTGGCTGGGATAAAATCCCAGCACGGAGGACACCCAATGACTCTGGGGGGACATCCACGAGAGGCTTGTGGCCTCCCAAGCCCAACCTTGCCGGTGTATCCGGCGTCCGCCGTGAGTTTATGGAAGGCCGTGCGGGTGCTCACACCGGCCCCGCGGTCGGTCTGGGGCAAGGCTGCCGCAGACTTTTACTTTTCTCCTTACACTAGCTTGAATTTTCCACTTTCTCGCTAGTGAGCACCTGGGACCGCAAAGCAGGAAAAATCAAGACTTCTTGGCCCAGACAAGGAGCCACACCAGAGTCCCAGGTGTGTGGAGGCTTCTGGAATCCTCAGTGGCCACAGGGAAAGCAGTGCTGACTCTGGAATTCCCTCAATCTTCCCCAAGAAGCACAAATCCCTTTTTAATTAAAAAACCTATGATAGGGCGCCTGGGTGGCTCAGTGGGTTAAAGCCTCTGCCTTCGGCTCAGGTCATGATCTCAGGGTCCTGGGATCGAGCCCCGCATTGGGCGCTCTGCTCAGCAGGGAGCCTGCTTCCCCCCCACCCCCCACCCCGCACCCCCCGCTCTGTCTGCCTCTCTGCCTACTTGTGATCTCTGTCAAATAAATGAATAAAATCTTTAAAAAACAAAAACAAAAATCCTATGAAACTGGTGGGCTATAGTCTACCCTGGGTCTAGCGTTGCTCCCTGGCTGAGGACCAGGCTCCGGACCCCGCGGGGCCACCCCGCGCACGCTTCCACTCCAGTGGCTCTCCACGGAGGGACCCCCGAGGCGCGTCCCTGAGCCAGAGCAGCTGGGCTGAGGCCACACTCGGGCTCCGAGTCTGGGACGTTCTGGAAAAGGCAAGACCGCGGTGGCCGGGACGGAGAGACGGGGAAACACGGGATTTTTAGGGCAGCAAAGCCGTAAGGGCAGACGCGTCTTCATGACGGCGTCCGAGCTCGTGGAAGGCACCTCCCGCTGGGAGGGAAGCCTCATGTCCACTCGGGCTCTGGTTAGCGGCGCTACATGGTGCCGTGTGTGAGTCAGACGGCGGAGCTCGCCCGCTCCTGGGCGGGGAAACCAGAGCAGAGACTTTGGAAACTCTGGCCTTTCCACTCATTTTCTTAGACACGCAAAACTGCCTAAACCCAAAAATGGAGAAGAAGGAAAACATCCCACAAACGTGAAGGTGACTCTGTCAGCAGCTGGGACCGTGAACGGGGCTTGGGAGCCAGGCCTCGGTCCAGGTCACCGCCAACCCGAGGGGCCCTGGACGAGCCTGGCCCGGTTTGCCACCGCCCCCCACACACACTGGGGCGGGGACAACGACAGTCCAGGCCTGGTCACGTGTGGCCGCCGGTGTCATCGCGGCGTCATGGTGTCTTCTACCCAGCACTCAGTCTGGTGCCGTCCCCGCCACAGCACCTGGCTCTCCACACTGTGCGCCCGGGCCTGTCTCTCATGAGCACCAGAGAAGACAAAGCACTTTGGAAGAAGAGAAAAGGCCGGGCCTGAAGGCTGCCAGCCCGGCCCAGCGGGGACCGCAGCCTGGATGTGGCGCGGGGACGGAGGCGGGCAGCCCCACAGCCCCACAGGAGCCTTGGAGGATGAGGGTCCCCACGCCACACGTGAGGCAGCGCGCCAAGGTCTGTGGGGCCCGCGGCCTGGCGGCGGGGAGGGTAGCACACCGGTGGCTCCCAAACTCAGGGCGGAGAGGGGAGGCTGGGCCGCGTGGCCCGGGGCCGTCCTTTCCCTGAGGGAGTGGGGGGAGCCGCTCAGGTCTATTTTTTATTTTTATTTTTTAAAGATTTTATTTATTTATTTGACACAGACAGAGATCGCAAGTAGGCAGAGAGGCAGGCAGGGAGAGAGGGGGAAGCAGGCTCCCTGCGGAGCAGAGAGCCCGATTCGGGGCTCGATCCCAGGACCCCGAGATCATGACCCGAGCCGAAGGCAGAGGCTTAACCCGCTGAGCCCTCCAGGCGCCCCGGCCGCTCAGGTTTAAAAGCTTCCCTGGGCTGAGTGATGCTGGGGGACCAAAGGTGGTGGGAAGGGCCGGCTGGAGGCCCAGGCCACAGAGCATGCCCCCGCCAGCGGCCAGCCCGCCCGACCCGCACCAGCAGTGTCCAGGGTGCCCGAGGGCCGCACGCCTACCCCTTGTTGGCCTCCTCCAGCTCCGCCTTCAGCTTCCCCAGCTCGATCTGCAGCCGCGCCCGCTCCCGCGCCGTCTCGTCCAGCACCCGGCGGGCGTCCGCCAGCTCCGACTCGTACAGCGTCTTGATGCCGCTCACCTGCGGGGTTGCAGCCAGGCCCAGGTCAAGGACAGACCCCTCCCCACCGACAGCGGGCCCTCCCGGCCCGGACACGGCTCCTCCCGAGGCCCCCCACCCCCACCCCAGGGGCACCCCAGCCGGCCCGAGCTCTCCGGGTCCCGGGTCCCCCACCAACTGCGCACACAGCTCATGCTTCTCGCCGCCTTCTCGCTCCCAACCTTCCCCCGCGTCCACACGCGGAGGGCCAGGCACGGGTGTGACAAACATCTGGAACCAAACAAGGGCCGTGAGGGAGCCCCTCCGTCCCCCTAGGGCGGCCAGAGTCCAAGAGACAAAGGGTAACAAACGCTGGTGGCAACACCGGGAAACCTCGGGCCCCCACGGGCAGCGGGCGGGAGTGGGAAACGGGCCTGGCGCCGGGCAGCCAGGTGGGCAGCGGACCCTGGAACCCAGCGACCCCACAGCTGGGACCTCCATGCCCGGAGAAGACGCGCGTGTACACGAAGCTGCGTGTTCGCGGCTCAGCCCACCGAAGCCAGGAGGTATAAGCAAGCCCAACGTTCTCCCGCCGACCAGCAGATGCACACGGCGCATCCCCATGCGCACGAGCGTCCCCGGCCACCACCAGCAGCAGGGTCCCCACGCGCTGCCCGGGGGACAGATCGCAAGCCCACAACACGCAGGGAGGGAGCCAGACACAGAAGGGCACGTGGGGTGTGAGTCCACGCGTGTGACACACCCAGACCAGGCTCCTCCACGGACGGGAAGGGGACTCATGGGGGCCGAGGAGGGCTGGGGGTGACAACTGATGGGGACGGGGCTTCTTTTGGGAAAGCGGCAATGTTCGGAGGGGATGGCTGTGCACCTCTCCCCACGCACCAGCCGCTGACCTGCGGAGCGTCGGAGCCACAGGCGCTGGGAACTCCAGCTCAGTGACCTGAGGGCGCAGAAGGCGGATGGAGGACGACACAGAGCTGCCGCTCAAAGCGGCACCACGTCCCCTCCCATGAAATGCCAGCAGGTGGGGGGGGGGTGCAGGTGCGGCCGGGACCCTTCCTCCCACAGGAAGGCCCCAGAGCAGAGGGGACTGCCGGGAGCGGCCGACAACCTGCTGCACGGTCAGGTAAGCAGCATCCCGCTGCCCAGGGACCAAGGGGCCTCCAGGAGGGGGGACGCTTCAGAAGAGTGGGGGTTTTAACAGCCAGTCTGAGCCCCCCCCCCCCACTGGCCTGGGCATCCTGGGCCTCAAGACAGCAGCTCCCAGTCACTTCATCCCATAGGTGAGACGGGATATGGGCTCCTGGCCCTATCTCACACATGGGGAAACTGAGGCATGGAATAGGAAACTGGTCTCTCCGGACCCATCACGTATAGGGCAGAGGATGTCCACTGGGGGCGATTCCAAGAGGACACACAATAGGGGAGCAGAGACAACCTTCTCCCTTCTGTCCCCTGGCTGTGGCCATCACCCACCCCCGGACAGCAAGGCTCCTCCCCCGCACAGAGCTGGTGGCCTGTGGCCACGCCCGATGTTTGCTCCTCTGGGAACTGGATTGTGGAATCAAGCTCAGTTCACAAAAGTGACCGCTCCTGTCTCCAAGCGTACCTGGGTTTACCGTGTGTCCTTGTTCTGCCTCCTGCCATCTCACCTTCCAGAACTCTCCTAAGCCTGAGGAAGGGCACGCACAAGATCCCCTGCCCTGACCCCCACCCTTTCTCTCACACCTTCCCCTCACCAGGCAGGGGTCCCGGGATGACTAGTGACCAACACGACAGTCACTAAGGCTACCGAGCCCTGAGCCAGGTTGGGGCATGGGGCAGGAGAAGCCAGCAGTGGTGACACTGTACGTAAGTTCTCGATACTTCATTCCCAGGGCGGGTTTTGCACTAACTTTAATTTTTTTTTTTTTTTTTTTAAGTAAACTCTACCCCCAACATGGGGCTCAAACTCACACTTCTGAGACTAGGATTCACACACGCCACTGAGTGAGCCAGCCAGGTGTGCCACTAATTTTAATTTTTTAAACAATCCATTAAAATATTATTGGGCCCCCTGCCTGGCCTAACCATGAGGAAACACCAGCCTGCCCCCAAACTCCTAACCAGCGCTCCTCATGGCTACCGGGGGACATCGACCCCTGGGAATCTCAGAAACGCTCTCGGTCCAGAGGGGCCCAAGGAGACGTGACACCTGAACACCGTGTGAGGTCCCGAGGGCGTCCCGGGCCAGAGGAGTGGGGGACACGGAGGACATCCAAATAGCATGGGTGTTCGCCCAGGATGTCGCTACAGCATCAACGCTGATACAACCACTGTGACAGAGACATGACTGTGAGACGCTAACAGAACTGTGCTGGGGGACGTGGGACCCTGCACGTCCTTGGCCATTTTCGTGTAAATCCAATACTAGCCTGACAAGGTTGAGTAAGTAAAAATACATCGTATTGTTTGTCTCCACAACTGAGACTTCTGGGTCCCCCCTGGATTCACTCATCCTGAGTGCTCTGGGCTCTGAGGCCACGCTCTCGCAGTCACCTCAAGTGTCCTGGTTCAAGTCCCAGGTTCTGGGGCGCCTGGCTGGCTGTCCTGCGGCTGGGTGTCAGGGCGGAAGTTCGGGCCGCATGGGCACAGAGATTAGTAGCTACGGGTACAAAGTTCACGCAGCGTTTCACGCCCCCACGTGCAGGCGCACACGTGCGGGCGCACGTCCCTTTGTCTTCACACGCGCTCACCGGCAGCTGGGCCGGCACACCCGGGCCGCGGCCAAAGCCATCCCGCCCTCTGCGTGTGTCCAGCCTGCAAGCCCAGAGTAGTTTCTACATCAGTCCGTGGCTGAGGGGAAGAAAAGAGAAAGAGATTTTGTGACACAGGCCGGTGACAGGAATTCAGTGTGTATAAATAAAGTTTTCTTGGCACACGGCCTGGCCCGTTCCTTCATGTAGTGTCTGTGGCAGCTTCCACTCCAACTGCTGAGTTGAGGAGCCACGGCGGAGACTTCCAGCCCACAGAGCTGAAAATGCAGACTCCGGCCCTCTGCAGAGAACATCTGCCAACCCCACTCTGTGGCCCTGGGACGATTCAGAAAACTCTTGTGGAGGACACACACACACAGCGTCTTTCAGAGCCCGAACAGGTGCTCTGCTGGCCCCTGGCCCCTGCGGCCCGGCCCCTGCGACGGCCCCTGCGGCCCGGCCACAGCCGACCGGAGACCGATGGCCGGGGCCTTTTGTTTTGTCTTTTATGGCATTATTCAAGTACCAAGAATGAACAAATGTGTTAGCATGTGTTGGCCAGGGAGCGGGAGCATGGTGGGGGCGGGGGTGTCCAGATAACCCGAGGTGGCCTTTTCCTGTTCCTGCGTCTCCAGGGGATGGAACCTTCCCAGCCGGGAACCACGGTTCTGCAGGCAATCCCCGCACACAGACAGCCCATAGGGCTACTTTCTCCCACCCGGCTCCCCGTGCCGCGCCCCTGCTCCCAGGGTCCACCCGGGGGGGGGCGCCCTACCTGCCCCCACCCCCCAGCAGCAACAGGACACCTGGGCAGGTGAGAGAAAAGAAACCGAAGGTCGGAGGAACTTAACACCTGAGTGGGGATGCTCCTTGGAGAACTGCCTCTCCCTCTTGGCTCCCCCCTCTCCCGGCCAGCACCCAAGACCTCGCTCAAACAGAAATCGAGCCTGGCCCCAGCCCTTCCAGAAGCCCTCCAGTGACACGAGCACGTGGCTCTTCAGCACAGAGCGGCCGGTGGGACCCGTATGTGGCACGTGCGGGAGGGTGGCAAGGGCTTGGAAGCTTCTGTCTTCCCTCACGCACCTCCACTGTCTGGATTTTGTTACATGCTCGGGGCACGCTTAGGACACTGTAAAAGGCATCTTCAAAGGGGTCCGTAAGTGGCTTCTCCTAATGGGATTTGGGGTTGGAACATCTCTGGGATGGGGTCATCCTGAGCACTGGGGGGCGGATGGGAGTGAGCAGTACCCCTTCCCCCACCCACTCCATGCCAGGAGCGCCCCAGCGTGATGACCACCATCCTCCTGGGGGTACCAGGCACCCGGCTCCGCCCACATCCCTCCTGGAGCCACCATCCAGTCCCAGCCCCCATCCCGCTTCTGCCCACCCACCTCTCAGGGCCCCTCCAGCCTGGGCCCCACTGTAGCCAAGGCCATTACCAGGGTGCTCTCCGAAAGCCTGTGACAGCGCCCCCCACTGACCCCCCCCACCCCCGCGCCGACTGCTCCAGCGCCCCTCCTTCCCCAGGCGCCAGCTCCCTCCACTGCCCAGTTCCCAGGGGCACTGATCACCTGGCCGCAGGGGCACTAGAGGCTCCAGGAGAACCTGCTGGTGGCAAGTCCCCAGCTCCAGCTGGTAGCCTGACCCTCAGCCCGGGGACACCCGGAGCCCCTGGCCTGCCCCTGAGCCCAGGGTGGGGCAGGTTTACCATAGGCGGCAACACATCCTTTGTTCCCAGGAGCCGTCAGAGACTGGGAGACCTCACCTCACCAGCTGGGAAGGGAACGGCCCCTCCCAGACCAGCGGGATCCGGTTCCCCAGGCCCTCCTGCTGGCGCTCTAGGTACAACACCCACCCAGCGCCAGGGGGCTCCCATGCCGTGGGCCCAGCCGGCCCATCACCCTCAGAGGGCTGCCTGCCAGCACCACACCTGCAAGGCCAGGAGAAAGACAAGGCACCCCAGCAGGCAGGAACCGGACCCGCACCCTGAATACCCCAGCACCGCTCTGGAAGGTGGCCACCTGGTGGGGGGGTGCGGACAATTCTAGCCTCATGAGACTGATGACAAAACCTGCCCAAGGTCACACAGACTCAAAGCACTTTGCACGAGTTTGCATCAGAGTTTGAATCCAGTCCCCGCACCCACTCCCGCAACACCGACAGCACCACCTTCCAGCGAAACCTCCTCCCCGTCGTCACCCAGGCCACTTTCTGAGCCGACCCGTCCTGGCTACTGTTAATCAGGGGCGACAACCCACGGTCCCCCCGGGCGCCCATCCTTTATTCTACAAAACGCACATTAACACGCCCGGCCAGCCAGTTAGAACAAAACGGGGGTGGCTCTGTCATCTCCATTTTACAGAAGAGGCACTGAGACCCAGGGAGTTTAAATGACTTGCCCAGGGTCACCCAAAGGGTAAGTGGCTCCCCAAAATGACCCCCACAAGACTGTCACATGGTCCACGGTCAGGACAGGGGCCTGGCTCTCCTAGGGGGCCCTCAGGGGGAACCACAAGGTGAGCACTCTCCCACCAGCCATCCTGATTCCCAGCAATCACACTTGGTTTTGGAAAGGGGCCAGCAGGGGTCCAGCTAAGTGAGAAGAGAGCCTGGGGCCCGGGGGAACCGGGGGAGAGTTGGGTTGGAGCCACAGTCCCCAAGCAAGGAAAGAACCCACCCAGGACCCCCAGACACAGGCCTTCCCATGCCCCTAGAGGGCGGGGGTTACCCAGCCCCTTCTCCCTCAGTCTGCAGTGAAGCCCTGGGACCCACCTGGAATCCCAAACTTCCCACTGGATCCCCAAGACCAGACATCTCCCCATCCCCACCAGGCTCCAGCCCATCGGCCAAGCGGGTACCCCAGGGCCCAACTGAGGACCTCTCAAATTTCCCATGGGACCCCGGGGCATCGGACCCCCTCCCCTCCCGTGCCCACCCACCCCAGGTGCCAGTAAGAGATGGAGCCTACAGCCTAACCACCTCTCTAGTCCCTCAACTCCCCAGAATTCATCCCAGGACCCTTGGAGAGTTCCGCAGAGAAGAGCACCGTGCCCCCCCCAGACCTCCCCCCAACTGAGGTCCTCCACCCCTCCTCGGGGTCCCTTCAGAGAGCTTGAACTCAGGCTCCTCTGAGACCACAGAACCCCACCAGATTTCCTCCCGGGACGCCAGGACACCCTAACACAGCCCCGAGACTCTCCGCCTCTCCCTTAGGGGCGGGGCTTTCTCTGGCTCACACCCTCTCGACCACGGGATCCCCAGATACCCCCCGACCACTCAGGGCTCGGGCTTGCCCCCCATCCACCAGTCGCACAGGGGGCCCCTGATCCCTTGGGGGATCCCTCAGAGGACGGGTCTACCCCAGACTGCGCTCCTCACTCGGTGGGCTCACGAACCGCTCTGTGGGCCCCTCGGCGGGCGGGGCTTGTCCCAGGGCGCACCCCTCGCTCACAGGTCCTCCGAAAAGCCCTGGGGAACCTTCAGTGGGCGGGGCCTGCTCCAGGGTGCGCCCCTCGCTCCGAGGTCCCCGAAAAATCCCTCGGACGCCGCGGTGGGCGGGGCCTGCCCCAGTCTGCACCACTCGCCTGGGGCACCCCCGAGACCTCTGAGGATCCCCTCTATGGGCAGGGCCCGCCCGGCCTCCGAGCCTCACCCACGGGAGGTCCCCGAAACCCCACGGGTACCCTCAGAGGCCAAGGCCTAGCCCCGCGTGCGCCCCTAGGGCCCCCCGAAACCCCGGGGACCCCCCCGGTGGGCGGGGCCTGCCCGGTGTCCCTTCTCGCGCACGGGAACCCCCGGGGACCCTCCGAGGCCGAAGCCCCGGCTGAGCGCCCACCTCGCGCGTGGTCACCTCCTCCCTCTCGGAGATCTTGAGCAGCAGCCGGTCGTTCTCGAGCTCGAGCGCGCGGACACGGTCGATGTAGTGCGCCAGGCGGTCATTGAGCTCGCGCAGCTCCTCCTTCTCCTGCAGCCGCGACAGGCGCGTGGGCGACAGCGGCGTGGCGGGCCCGCCCCCGCGGCCGGGCAGCGGCGTGGCCATGGCGGCGGTGGCGGCGGCGGCGGCGGCGGCGGCTCGGGGCCCGCGCGGCTCGGGACGGCGGCCGCGGCGCGGCGGGCTCATTCAATCCGCGCCGCCGACCAAGATGGCGCCCGGCGCCCGCCGCCGCGGAGCAGCCTGGGACTTGTAGTCTGTCGCGGCTGCGCGGGGCAAGCCGGGAGCTGTAGTTTCCCGCGCCCGCAAGGCTCCTCTCGCCTCCCGCTCCGCCTCCCGCTCCGCTTCCCGCTCTGTCCATCGCTGTTCCTGAAACCGCTAGCGTTCAGGGCCAGGCCCCCGGACCTGCAACTCCCAGCTCGCCCCCGAGGGACAGCGGGCTTCTTTCCAATGCCCACCTTCCCCACTTGTACAACCTCCCTCCCTCCTTGGAGTCCTATTAAAATGAACGGTGAAGGGACCTCGCAAACACGCTCAGGGATGTCACTTACAGGTACGATCAAAATAAAATAATGGTAAGATAAGATAAATAACAGCTCACAGCGGCGCCAGGCTGGCTCAGCCGGAAGAGTATACGACTCCAGCATTGTGAGTCCAAGCCCCCAGCTTGGCTGTAGAGATTACGAAAAAAACAAAAAATTAAGTTAAAAAAAAAAAACTGAGCTCGCAGATGCAGAGAACAGGTTGTGGGAGGTTGCGGGTGGAGGGGTGGGAGGTGGGCAACACAGGCGAAGCCGTCAAAAGACACAAACTTCCAGTTATAAAATAAGTAAGTGCCAGGGATATAAGGCGCAGCGCGGTGGCTGAGGTTAATAACACTATATTGTAGGTCAGAAAGTAACTATGTGCGTTGACGGATACCAACCACACCTACTGTTATCGTTTCAACAATGCACGCAAACCTCAGATCAGCAGGTCGTGCACCTGCAACTTCCACAACGTAACATATCAATGACACCTCAATTTAAGAAAAGAAAAGAAACACCTCACTGAAAAGCCAGGCACGAAGGGCCACATACTACCCAATCCCACTTATGTAAGACATCCCGCGGAGGGGAATCTATAGGCCCGGTCTCGGCACACCACCCAGGGCCCCGTTGTTCTCTGTGGTGGGGCAGGATGTGGAGGACCACCTCTGGGCGCCCCAGCCTCCACCTGATGCCAGCAGCACCGCTGCCCCACTCCAGTCCGAATAATGTCTAGTCACTTCCCCCTGTCATCGCCCCCAGTGGAGAAACACTTCCTTCCCCTCACCCTGGAACTTGCGGGGAGAACTCCTCCTTCCCAGACATCCCACCTTGGGGAATTGGGCTGAAACAGCCTCGCTTGGGGACTCCCGCAAATGTCACACGAGAACGTGATTGCCCTTCCAGCCCTCGGAGGGCCGGGATGCTCACCTGTCTTCAACACCTGAAACTCACTCTGTATTCCCCTCTCACCAAAAGCCAAGGGCCCCCCCTTAGAACCCAGTCAGGAACAGTCCCCACCTAGACTGTCACTGTGCTGCCTTCTCAAAAGTGACTTTGTGCTTGAAACCCGGTATCGGTGCCTGTGCCGTCATCACACAGAGGAGACGGTGGGTAGGATGTAGGGTGCGAGGGCACTTAAAACGGAGAACGAATCCGTGATACTGCAGGGGGCAGGGCCGGAGCGGGAGGAAAGTGACTGAGGTTTGAGGGTGGCATGGGGTCACCTTGTCAGCGCTCCCCGCCCCCAGACCCAGCTGCAGCCCCCTCCTCACCAGAGCTCCGCTGACCGCTGCCCAGAGCCCTGGCCGACCTGGCCCCCCCGCTCAGGGCCCTGCAGGGTCCCACCCGCCGCGAACGGCTCTCGCCCCTCTCCGCCTCCCCGTCTTTCCCGGGCCAGGAGGCCAGTCCCCTCCCGGCGGCACGGGCTGCCCGGACAGGCCTGGGCCTCAGCCCTCGCGTCTGTAAAACGAGTCTGGCCCCTACTCCCCACCCCGACCCCTCGGCGCTGGGCGGGGCTCGGGTGCCCCGAGCACCCCCTACGCACGCGGGACCCCCGGGGGCTGGACTCCAAGTCCCAGAAAGCCCTGCGCTTCCCGTGGGTGGGGCCCTGGGCTCCCCCTTCCCCGCGCGGTTTGGGAGGTGACCGCAATTTTCAAATTTTGGCGCTGGACGGGCGGGGCGGGGACCGCGGCTGCCAGGCCCCCGCCCCCCTCCTCTGCGGAGCCGGAAGTCCGGGCTCCCCCCTCCCGCCGCCCCGCCAGGCTGGGCTGCCCCCTGCGCCGGCTGCCCCCGCCAGGCACGCAGCAGGACGCTCCGGGGCAAGGCCGGCGGGGGAAACTAAGGCACGGAACCCCCAGCGGGGCGGGGCGGGGCGCAGGCGGGACGCGAACCCCCCACCCGCCGGCCCCGGGGCGCAAGAGAGTTGATGACTGTCTGCTCTGGGGACGGGGGTGCGGGTACGGGGTAGGAGGGTCCGCGCCCGCACGGTGCAGCCCGTCAGGCCCCGTCCCGGCCGTGCGCTCCGCGCCCCTCCCGCCGCCGCGCTCGCCCCGCGCAGGGTTTGGCGCCACATCTTTCAAAAACCTCCGTCCAACGGCTGCCACTGGCTCCGGGCCCGGCTCGAGAACCCGGATCCTGAATTCCGGAGCCTGGATCTGTGAGGCCGGGATTCCGGAGCCCGGGGAAGGGCCGGACGCCGGAGCCTGGCTGGGCGGCGCGGCGTATTCCCGAGCCCGGAGGGGACTGGGGGCTCCGGACCCCTGGTTCCAGAGCCCTGCGCTAACCCTGGAGTCTAGGAGCCGACTTCGGGGACCTGGGGGGCTGGAACCTATAATCGCAGGTGGAAGCTGGGCGGGAAGGGGGACGCTGAGGCTGGCAGGAAGCCGTGGGTTTAGGGAGCGGACTGCATTAGAGACAGGGACGAATCCTGGCGAACTTCTCCCCGAGCCAGGCACTGGCGCTGGGGCAATTCGGCCCCAACAAAGCTCCCTGCTCGGAGGCAGGGGGCACGGGGGGAGCTGAGAGACAGGACACAGACACACACAGCACAAATAAGCAAATGACATGGAGTATGGGAAATGGGGGAAAACAAGGTTGAACGGGTTTGGGGGGGCAGTGGGGTGTGTGGGGATGCGTTTTAAAATTGGGTGGGTCCCTCTGCAGAAGGCTGGGCTTTGACTTGGAGAAGCTGACATTTAAGCCAGGACTCAGAGAGAAGGAGGAGATCAGCCTCCTGGTCTGAACGTGCAGAGAGAAAGCCTCCCAGGGAACGGGACCAGGCGGACTCTGAATCTAGTCCTGCAGGTCAGGGCACTGGGGGAGAACTTCCAGCAGGTGGAGATGTCCAAAATCAACCTTGGAGCTTCGGGCCACCGTAATAACACTAAGCCAAGAGTTTGGGATAAAGAGGGACAATAACTTTATTGCGATGCCCGGCAAAGGAGGCTACGGCTGGCGGCAGCCTTCAGAAACCTTGGGCCCTCCCCAAGGAAGGCGCTGGGGCGTTTTGCAGGGAAGCACAGGATCTAGCAGGAATTGGGTTTGTGCTATCAGCCGTTTTCGTGGCGGTTCTGGGTTCCTGAAACAGAAGGATAAGAAGGGAGGAGGGGAGGTTTGCAGAAGAAAGGAAAAGCTGACTTTAAAATCAAGCTTTGGCAAAGCTTAGTGCAGCCATTTTATTTTTGCTCAACTTGACAATTTTAAGTGGCTTCAGGGACAGATATTAAAGAGGGAGACAAACATGTAATCGGACATTGGCGTAGTAGCTAGCTACTGCTGCGTAACAGGTAGCCCCAAATGCAGACGCTTAAAGCAACTCCCATTTCTTCTCTCCGTTTCCAGGGCTCAGGAATCCGAATGCAGCTTAGCTGGGTCCTCTGGCCGGGGCTTCACAAAAATTCCCTTCCAGCTGGTTCGCACTATTGGTGGAAGGATTCAAGTCCTTGCAGTCTATAGGCCTGAGAGTGTCAGGGTCTTACAGGCTGTTGTCCGAGGGCTGTCTCAAGTCCTCATCCCATAACAGAAGATCTCGTTTGGGTTTTGAAACCCTCACTGCTTGTCGTAATAGGGAACCAAAACCCCAAAACAACCCAAATATCCATCAAACAATGGGCCCACAGCTCCCTGTATATTTATGCTATGGAATATTATACAGCGGTGAAGAGGAAAGTGCCTCGGGGAACACCCAGTCACGGAATGGCCTCCCAGACGTAAGATTGTGCAAAGAAAGCAAAGCGCAGAAGAAATCCAACACTATTCTACCATGTTTATGAGAATTCCAAACCTGGCTGACCCGGCCGATGTGTCATTTAGGGGTCCTACAAACACGATAGAATTGGAAGGAAAAGCGGACACAGCGGTTTTGTCTGGTGACGGAGATGGTGGCACGTGGGGACAGGTAGAGACAGTGGGGCTTCAACATGGTGGTCACATTCGATTTTGTAAGCCTGCTGGTTGTGAAGGTTCTATTGTATATGCCGGACATACAAGTTATAGATGGTGGTTCTGTGTTTGATAGATTTCATCTTTCAAAAATGAAAAAAAAAAAATAAAAAAGAAAAAGCCTCCTTGGGACTGCTATGCAGAGCAATGTGGTCCCAGTAGAAACAGACTATCCTACCACAAAAGAGGAATGGTAGTCGTGTGACCTCACAGAGGTGCTAAGTAAACTATGGTGCTATTCACGTGGAGATATTTAAATGTATCAATCAGCACACATTGTACACCTTAAGGTTACACAACGGTTATATGTCAATTATATGTCAATTAAAAAAAAAAAAAGAATAGGGGTGCCTGGGTGGCTCAGTAGGTTAACTGTCTGCCTTCGGCTCAGGTCCTGATCTCCGGGTAATGGGATCGAGCCCCGCATCGTGCTTTCTGCTCAGTGGGAAGCCTGCTTCCCCCTCTGTCTCTGCCTGCCTCTCTGCCTCCTTGTGATCTCTGTCTGTCAAATAAACAAACAAACAAAAATCTTTTAAAAAATTGGGAGGTATGTTTTAAAAATAAATAAATAAAATATTTTAAAATAAATAAAATAAAATAAAATTTGGTTTCAGGATGGCTGGCCGGCTCAGTTGGGAGTACATGCAACTCTTGATCTCAGGGTCGTGCATTTGAGCTATGTTGGGTGTAGAGTAAAAAATAAAACTCAAAAAAAAAAAA